ACTCAAGTTCAAGTTGAAGCTGAAGAAAATAAAAACAAATTCACAAGAGCCAAAGGATGATCTTGAGTATATCTCACCTGAATTTAGAGACCATTTCAAGAACAGATTTGACACACTGAACATTAATGACAGAAGGGCAGACAAGCTTTAAGATACTATCCAGGACTTCATACATGAAGAAAGCAAAAGGTCATTAAAAAGACAGAATAGAAAGAAAAGACCAAACTGGATGTCAGAAGAGACTCTGAAACTTGCTCTTGAATGGAGAGTAGTAAAAGCAATTGAAAGAAATTATAACAGAGCTGAACAGAAGATTTGAAAGGGCAGCTTGAGAAGACAAAGTAAAGTATTCTAATGAAATGTGCAAAGACCTTGAGTTAGAAAATCATAAGGGAAGAATATACTCAACGTTTCTCGAGCTGAAAGAACTAAAGGAAAATTCAAGCTTCCTATTGCAATATAGAAGTATTCTATGGGCAAAATACTGAATGAAACAAGAAGAGTCCAAAGAAAGTGGAAAGAATACACAGTCTCTGTACTGAAAAGAATTGGTCAACATTCATCCATTTTAAAAGGTAGTATATAATCAAGAACCAATGGTATTGAGGGAAGAAGTACTGAAGGCATTAGCCAAAAAAAAAAAAAAAACAGGCTCCAGGGATTGATGAAGTTCCAATTGAAATGTTTCAACAAATGGATGCAACAACAGAAGTGCTCACTCATCCATGCTGAGAAATTTGTAAGACAGGTACCTGGCCAATTCACTAGAAGAAATCAGTATTTGTACCCATTCCAAAAAGAAGTAGTCCAACAGAACATAGAAATCATCGAATAATATTGTTAATATCACATGCAAGTGAAATTTTGCTGAAGATGATTCAAGAATGTTTGCAGCAGTACAGCAACAGGGAATTGCCAGAAATTCGAACTGGACTCAGAAAAGTAGGTGAAAAGAGGGATATCACTACCCATAGAACCTGGCTGAAAGCAGAGAACACCAGAAAGACGTTTACCTGTGTTTCATTGACTAGGCAAAGACATTTGACTGTGTGGATGATAGCAAATATTGGACAAAATTGTGAAGAATAGAAATTCCAGAACTCTTAATTGTGCTCATGAAGAATCTGTTCATAGACCAAGAGACAATTCTTCAAACACAATTAGGGGATAGTATGCGTCAGAAAGGTGTATGTCAGGGTTGTATCCTTTCACCATACCAGTCCCTGGAGAAGGATATCATGCTTGATAAAGTAGAGGGTCAGCAGAAAAGGGGAAGACCCTCAATGAGATGGCTTGGCCCAGTGGCTACAACAATGGGCTCAAGCAGAGCATGGATGGTGAGGATGGTGCCGGACCAGGCACTGTTTCGTTCTGTTGTACACAGGGCCACTATGAGTCAGAGCCGATTTGATGGCACATAACAACCACCAAGGCTGTCCCCTTGGGCCCCACAGCCTTCCATAGAGTTTCAGATTTTGCTAAATGACTCCTCTCTTTCCTCCTTAACCTATAGTGGGCTAGACTAGGAAGACAGGGTGAAAACCATGCCCCGCTCTTAGTCAAATGGCTGACTCTGAAGGGGGCCATGACCACACAGGTTGAGTGAGGATTGGTTCCTGGTCCCCATTTCACCCCCTGGACCTCTTCTCTCTTGAATACCTCCATAGGCACCCCCCTCCTGAAAAGGGCTTCTGCAAAGCCAGCCACCACTTTGTAAAAACACCCAGACCAGACAGGGGTACATGTGACTCAGCCTAGCCTCATCTCTACCACACCTGCTATCACCTGTGGACAGGAGTGCTTTTAAAACCAGAAAAGGAAAACAAGTTATTTAGAGAGAAAACATGATTGGGCATCAACATCTGCCAACAAATTGGAAGAAAGATTCTCAGACAGTGTGAGCCTCCTGTTGAAAGAACTTGCACTCACTTATGACATAAAAAACAAACCCAAACTCTCTGCTGTCAAGCTGATTCCGACTCATAGTGACCCTCCTTGAGTCTCCAAGGCAGAATCTCTATGGAAATAGATTGCCCAGTCTTCCTTCCGAGGAGTGGCTAGTGGGTTTGAACCGTCAGCCTTCTGGGTAGCAGTCACATACCTTAGGTACTACTCCACCAGAGCTCTCACTCACAGTTTTTGGTTTGGTCACTTATAGCATACACATACATAAATTAAAAAAAAAAAAAATTGAATCTGCATGTGACCAAGCCTCTAGCTCCCACCACCAGGTTCCAGGAGGTACAGAGGGAAGGCTTAATTAACATCGTCTTGGTGTTAAAAGACACCAAGTGGATGTCATGCACAAAAGCCTGTAATCAGCAGAAAGCACTATGGGAGACTTAGTAAGGTAAACAATCCTATTTCTGCAACAAACAAATCAAATATTAAAATAAGCAAGATAACGGAAGAATCCGTAGAGTCAGGGAGAAGAAAGATGTATCAACTAGTGGCCAGGTAGGAACTTCATTCGGATTCTGATTCAAACAAGCCGGTTCATTCACGGCCTTCAGATAGTTGGGAACTGGAACGCTGACTGCATGTTTAATGGAATTATAGCTCATTTTTTATTTTTATTTTATTTATTTTTTTAAATTGCTTTAGGTGCAAATTTACAGAGCAGAGTTTGTTTTACATTCAATATTTCGTGTACATTTGGTTTCACTCCCCAATTACCACCCCAACCCTAACTCACTCTCCTCCCCCCTCTTCCCAGTACCCCCTCCCCCCATAGCCCTCATAGGTATGCACTCCTGTGGGTCCTGCATTTCCTCCGCGTGAATGTTGCCCCTCTGGTGCCCGGTGGTCGATTGCTCTGAGGGATGTATCTCCATAGAATATGTGGGTGTGTCATCCCGAGTTGAGTGGTCTATGTTTACGTCTTGTTGGGCTGAGAGCTAGCCCCTGGGAGTGAGTTTTATTCCAGGCCTAAAATATATCCCAGACACATAGTATTGGGGGTCCCACCAGACTCTATCCGACCAGTAATTCTGGTCATTATTGTGTTTTTGGATTTTGTTCCACGTTTCCCCCCCGCCCCATCCACGATCTCCAGTTTTGATCCTTTCCTGAGTGGTTGGCATTGGTAGCCAGGCACCATCTAATTCTGGTCTTGAGGTCCATCATGTCTTAGGGCTGAGTGCTTCCAAATGCCCTTGGTTTTTTGCACTCTTCTTCTCTTCCAATGATAGGAGACCATTAGCTGTAACTTACATGGCAGCTCAGAAGCTTTTAAGACCCCAGTCACTACTCACCAAAGTTGGATGTAGGATAAGACTTTTATGTATTATGTTGTGCCAATTCAGCCTGGTGTCCCCCAGTACTATGGTCCTGAGTTGGCAGATCCGTTTGTTCTTTCTCCCAAGGTGCCTGGCTGTCTGTGAGGGATTGCTCCAAGTCTGTCTTCTGTTGCTTCTGTAATGACTGTGATTATTTTGTAGCACTTGTGTCTGTGCAAGATTATTCTCAGCTGAATCTATCCTTGGTCTAGAGTATAATCCAGTTCACTGACCCCCATCTGATCTTCTCAGATGTTTATGTGATTATCTGTAGCTTGGTGTTTTGTTGTTAGTGGTAATGCTGTATTGGGTTTGGGGTGGTTACGTTTTTGTGTCAACTTGGCCGGACTTGGTTGAGTGGCTGAGCAGTGGCACTTGGTAACGAACGTGGATATACTGGTATTAGCCTCTGGGCATATTTTATGTACACAATGTGGTGTCCTCCCTTTCCCCAATGTTATGGTGGTCACAGACTTTCCATACCATCCATCCCCTTGCCCACCTCACCATGTGGCTCCCAACTAACCCAAATTAATCCCTCCCCTTTCCTCCCCACCCTGGTCACCTACAAAGTGAGTTCCCTTCCTTAAGCAAACCCTTCCTTGACTTTTTACGGTAATGGGCTCATACAATATTTGTCCTTCTGTCATTGATTTATTCCACTCAGCATAATGTCCTCCAGGTTCATCCGTGCTCTGGTAGCATAGTGCCTAAGGCACTTGACTGCTAACCAGAAGGCTGGCGGTTCAAACCCACCAGCCACTCCTCGGAAGGAAGGTTGGGCATTCCTACTTCCGTAGTGATACTGCCTCGGAAACCCAAGGAGGGGTCGCTATGACTCGGGGCCGACTCGATGGCAAACAACAACAACAACAACAACAACAGGTTCATCCGTGTTGTGAGATGATTCACTTATCTTTCATGGTTCTTTTTTTAGGTGCCATCATGATATTGTGGTTTTGTTTTTAAAATATAAAGAATCTTTAGCTTTCAGAGATGCAGGTGAAATATTTCCATGTCTGGAATTTGCTTCAAAATTACATGAGGGTGGAGGGCAGCCATCAGCTTAACTGTTGAAGGTGAAGGATGGGGACACAAGGGCTCTCTGTTTTTGTGCACGTTTGGACTTTTCCATGAAGATAAATGTTAAACAGCAAACAGACACACTGTGCCGAGGTAGGTAATTTCCCACACGAGGTGAGCCCAAAAGGCAGGGGAAGGGAAAGAAAGACAGACCCCAATCAAGGAGCAAGAAGGGACGGGGAGCATGGACAATTCTGGAATAAAACTGTGCTTGCCCAAAGTTAGTGAGCCAAAGCCTCCCCCTCCTTCTTTGGAAGGAGGATTCTCCAATTCTTTTTCTAACTGCTTTGTTCTTCCTTCTGGCAGTGCACAGTGCATTGTCTGTTCCTCACCAACACCAGTTTGAATGTGTCAGCTCTTCATCGGTCTTCCTTGTTCACTGTCCAGCTCTCACATGCATATGAGGCAATTGAAAAGACCATGGCTTGGGTCAGGTGCACCTTAGTCCTCGAAGTGACATCTTTGTTTCATAGGATTTTACAGAGGCCTTTTGCAGCAGATTTTCCGGGCAGAATTACACCTCTGGGAAACATGCACCTGACAATAGCTACAGGCATATGGATGGTGCAGGGGGCCCAGCTGGTGGCAGCTTTGGAGACCTAGCTACAGCCCCACCCGTCGGGTCTCTTGTCCCTCCAGCTGGTCAGTCGGGAACTGGAGTGCCTGCAGCCGGACCTGTGGTGGCGGAGCTCAGAGCCGGCCTGTCCAGTGCACACAGCGGGTCCGCCACAGAGAGGAGCCAGTCTTGGCCAGCCTGTGTCCTCAGCCCACGCCCACCAGCAGACAGAGCTGCAGCTCCCAGAGCTGCCCACCAGCTTGGAGCACCGGGCCCTGGGCAGAGGTAACAGGAGCAGATGAAATGGGGGCAACTGCTGGGCCCCTTCCCGTGGGACACAAAGTGGGATTCTGCCCGGGGCCCTGAGGGGCCTGTCATCTCAGCGCCCCCAGCAGGGGCTCGGCGCAGGACCTGACTTCTCCCTCCGGCTGCACAGTGCTCCAGAACCTGCGGAAAAGGGTGGAGGAAGAGGGCCGTGGCCTGCAAGAGCACCAACCCGTCCGCCAGGGCGCAGCTCCTGCCCGACGCCAGCTGCACGTCCGAGCCGAAACCCCAGACTCACGAGGCTTGTCTCCTGAAGCGCTGCCCCAAGCCCAAGAAGCTGCAGTGGCTGGTGTCTGTCTGGTCCCAGGTGAGGGGGCCTGGTCCCCGGTAGGCGTGCTTGCTCCCTGGTCTGGTCCCAGGTAGGGTTGGCCCATCCCAGGTGAGGGGGCCTGGTCCCCGGTAGGCGTGCTTGGTCCCTGGTCTGGTCCCAGCTAGGGTTGGCCCATCCCAGGGAGGTGTGCCTGGTGCCCGATGGGTGCTCCTGGTGCAAGGCAGATGCTCCTGGTCCCAGGTGGTACATCCTTCCCTCGT